TTTTTGTTTTTTCGTCCCAAGTAGTGGGGGCACAATCCATTAGGTCAGTGAATTTCTGGGCCCAAGAGTCAAAAGACACTACAGACTCTTCCCTGTATGTGGTTGTGGCTCCCTCTTTGTCTAACAGGCTTAACATGTTTAATTCCAATTTTAATGGTTCGATTTCCTCAATTCCTGTGTTTTCCCCATTATTTTTATTTTCATTAAACTTATCGACTTTAGAAGAGATTAATGCCACTTTTGAGTTTACTGTTGATAAATGTGTGTTCACTTCCATTGCCATTTGATTTATAGCATTTGTATTGCTGTTTGCTCTCCTGTTGATTAATCTGATGTTTCTGTTTAATGAATCTTCAAGAGTGTGTGTAGCTTGTAGTAGTTTATCCAAATCAGCAATTTTTGCATATTCTTCGTTGCTTTTACCCCGGTAGAGGTTTTTATTGATGAATGGAGTTTCTGATTCTATTGGATCTGTCTCACTCATCCACCAGTTTGTTTATTGTGCTTGTAAAGTTTATTTTCTAAATTTCAAAAATTAAAAAACTCCAAAATTTATTTTCAAAACTATAGTTTATTTTCTAGATGCAGAAATTTATTTTTTTTATTTTGTTAAAATTTCTCACAACCTAACATTTATCTTTAAACTTAACTATTTCAATAACAATTTAACTTGTGAATTTGTTTCCCTAATGCTTAATACTATATTAATAATTCTATTGTAATTTTAATAATGGTTTGTCAGGCTTTTCTTTTTTTATATTAATGGTTGGACAAGCTCTTTTATTTGATAACAGTTAAAGATTAGAAGTGTTTACATTGCTTCTCATACATTTATCCTTTTTTCCCAGCCATTAAATTTTCAACTTGTAATAATTTTATCCCGTCTTCTTCTTTACTTTTTTTATTGTAATTTTGAAACCTTTACACCTCTGATTAGTCATTCTCGTTTTCACGTGGATAACCTTTGGATTTTTATATTTTACTTATTTCCACCTTACTTCAATATCTACTCTATACTAGAGAGTCGGATTTTTACCTACCCGTGAATGGACAATAAGAAATTGTAGCAGAATAAACACTGTCGGTACTCTGGAAAATGGACCAACAAACCAAGAAATAGGGCCGGGACCTGATCCCTTTACACCCTCTACTATGTACTTATGAATCTTTGATGAAGCGATTAAAACCGAATGATTTAACCTCCATCTATTCACTAAACTCCCTTTACATTATACTCAGTTGTAAGTGCAAATACTCGATTAAACCTCCTCCTTGTATACTTATAATTGACATTAGCCTTTATGATTTAATTAAATAATTATGTGATTAAGGAGATACTTTTAGTATTATAAAACAAAAAAAATTCAATAAATAAAAAATTCGTGCTATTATGGTTTAAGTTCAAACCATTAACTAAAAATTATAAAAAAGGCATTTGTTAAAAAAATGAGGATTTAATTCTTTAAACTTATGTGGGAGTAAAAAACAAATATTTTAGTAAAAGCAAACAAATATTTTAATAAATTTTTGACAGGTTCTTCTACACAAATAAATTGAATTTATGTCGGTTCTTATTATATTTGTGCATTCTATGTAAATTTGTCAATTATATTTTGTGTTTATTATTATGAGAAGTAAATTTTCTAAACGCAAAATAGATAACTTATCTTTAGATCCCAATATCTTTTAGGATAATTCTATATCCTTATTTCTAATAAGAATCTATTTATAGGCCTTTCTGGAAAATACCCTCTTTATTACATTCCTCATGATACAAATTCATTTGTAACCCACTTTTTTATCAAATCATCCACTTTTCTATCTATTCAAAATTATAAGTCATAAACACAATAGATAGGCCATTCTAATAATTTTTTCTTCTTCGATAATGTAATTTTCCTAATGTTGAGTTATCTTCCAGAAATTCACTAATATTACATTCAAAAAATTAGCTGATAAATGAGAGAGAGGCACAAGTAAAATAGTATTAAGATTTTATTAAGCTTGCGAACGATAAAAAATACATGAAAGGATTTCCTAATAAATAAGAAAAAATTTGAAGTTTTAATTGAATCATTAATAAAAGAGAAATAAAGGCAATTTATCTAAAAACTCAAAGCTATTTAACACGAATGTAATAAGTAAAAGCCAATAAAAGTGTTCACTAACTTTACATGTATTTTAAAATTTTATATAGACGGTAACAGATTTTCTGTTTATGTTTGGTAAAAGGATTTTTATATAATGTAACAATGTTTGCAAACAATAATAATAAATTTTAGATGTAACTAAAAAGGAAACAAATAAATTTTTCCAACAAAAATGTAATGACTAATATTAAAACTGTTAAACTGTTTTTATAAAGGGATTGCGGGAAAATAATATGGAATAAATTTAAAACATTTCTTACAATTTGTGCAAATGTTACCTAAAATAAATAGCTATTGTCCATCGGTCTATGAATGTTTCTTAAACCATTTTTCTTTTGAAATGTTTTTATTCTCAAAAAGGAGGAAAGAAGTGTTTTGGTCCCATCCTTTTCTCATTTTGTATTTTAGAAAAAAGTCATATAAAATGGAAAAAACTAAAAAATTTTAGATGGATCCAAAAAAAACGCCAAATCGAAGATTACCAGTCTATATTTTCTTAATTCGCACTTTAAACTTTACTTTTTTTTTTTGTTTTCCTATTTTCCTTCCCCTTTTTCTTTTCTTTTATTGTTTTTTTTTGAAATTTATTGCTCTTCTTGTAACGTGAGGAACACGTCCTCCATTTTATGTTTTACTTAATATATACCCGAAACAACCAAAAGAATATAAACAAACACCAAAAAAATAGAATTGAAATTATAAGTTCAAAACAATATTAATTTAAAATTTTGTAAATATTTCCTAAAGACCCCCGTATTTTCTATATACTCTCGTTAACTAATGGTGTAATATTCGAAATTATCAAAACACAAAAGGGAAGTCTAAAATTAAATTCTAACATAAAAATTAATATTCGACCATAAAGTTAAAACACCTTTAGAGTGAAAATAAATAAAGATAGAAAATAAAAGCTAAATAAGAATAAATAATAATGTCCCGATGAATAAAATGCTGTCAGTAATGATTCACCTTTTACCTGAAGAAAATTATGGCTGCAAAAAAAAATTTCATTATACAATAACAGAAAGTCATCACGAGAGATAACATAAAAAAATTGTAAAAAGTTCCGCCTGGAGTTTTTTTTTGTGACTGGCGTTTTAATTTCGATTTTTTCTGAGTTCCCTTGTTTTCCTTCCTCTTTTTTTTTTTGTTTTATTACTTTTCCCTCCTTATTTTTGAAAATTTATCACGTGAGGAGCAGACAAAAGAATAACCAATCTTTAAAAATGAAACATTTTCTGTCATATTTCGTAATATTGAGCAAAAAGATAATATGTCAAAATAAATACTTTATAGGGACTTCTAGCAGTTATCGAATAAATTCGAATTTTTCTTGAAAGTAATTTTGTTCTATCTTGAGACGTTTTATGGCTATAGATTGAATTTCAAATCTTTTTATCTTTCTCTGCTAAGTGATTCCCCATGATTGTGTTGGTTGGAGCTTTGACGCACTTATAGATTAATTAAATCCTATTAAAAAAAATACTTTTTTTGATGTGGTTTTTCTTATTTGAAGTGGTTCTTCAAAAGAACCATCCGGTGCTACCAGTGAGGTTTACACGTATTGGGCCACCCAGTAAATTAAATGAGGCGAGGTATCGACACCGTGAGGGCTACTCTATCTTCAAATACAACGTTGTATGTGCTCCGTTAGAAGCAAAGCTTAGGCCCTAATTGTTGCGCATAAAATAATATTTATTTAAATGTAAAATTTAAAATCGCGATTGAATAAAGTAAAGTTAAAGCTAACAAAATTATTAATAATATAATTGATTATAGAGTCGACATTGAATAACAAAAGAGAACGTTCCCGGGAAAAGAAATTTAGCGCTTATTACTAAAAACCATTAGCTAGCGGCGCTGCTCTAAGATTAAAGTGATTGCTTCCTTCTTCTCCCGTTGGGCCCAACTCAACTGATCTCTTTCAACTGTTTTCCCATGCATTAAATAATCCTATCCTTATCCTTATAGGGCGTGTGCTTAAGTGTTCTTCCTGCTTGTCAAGGACAAGCACGGCCTTACAATATAGGAGAGCGATTTGCACAAGATTTGTGTCAAGCTATGAGGAGGCGATGTCCCGGTCTTGGAACTAACAATCCTTTATCAACTGAAAACTTTCAATTAATATTCTCAGCATTACAACCAAGAGCAACTGCTTGGCCAATAATAGCCACAGAATTAACACAATTAATTGGATTGCTTAGAAGCAAGGCAAAAAACAAATTTATTTTTCAAATTATTAAATAATTTTTTAAGGCTATTCCAAGGACAGGTACTTCATCAACATCTTCAACTTCAACATCTTTTATGGGAGGAGGAGCACTTCCATTTATGCCTATTAAAATGAATGAAGGAAGGACATCCGCAGGAACACCAGTTATTGGATCAGGGGCAGCAGGAGGAGGAGGACATATTGGAACTCCAAATACCCCAACATCAAATTCTTTTACTCTTTTCCAACAAAGAGATCAAATTATGCGAAATTTACGTTCAACGCCTGGAAATGAATTTCGAAGTCCCGACTTTCGAAATTTGTCACATTTGCACAGTGGATCTCCTAGCCATGGAAATGTTGATTTTGGAGGTCTGATCGGTGTTAAAATTTAAAACAAAAAAATAAGTAGCTAGGTACCAAAAGATCACAAAAATACTGTCAAAGATTTAAAAAATCGCTTTAAAAGTCATTTCAATAAAATTGGCATTTTGTCAATTTAAATTTGGACAATTTGTCCTTTCTAATTTAAATTTTCTCCAATTTTCTTTTTCATTTCGTTTGTTTTCGATATTTTTAGCTGTACTTTTTTTAAGAAATTTTAAATTAATTATGTATGACTTTACTTAAAAACTCAAATGCTACAACCAACAAATCAATACCTGACTTATTTAGATGACTTGAGCACTGTTGTGTTTGCTGAGGAAATTCAGGAAGAAGCAAATTCTTATTTTCAACAAGTTCCTTTCATTTTTAGTTTTGAATTTATTGATTATTTTAATTTAAAGATTTATGCTCCAAATGGACGGATGTCTGTTGCAGAATTTATTTCAAAGCTTAAATCGTTCAAGATCTCCGCTAATCCTCGGGATAGGGTAAATTATATATTTTTGATCAAGTTTTGTCCGTGATCGATTAGAGTATCTGAACCCCTATCATTGATTCTCTGGTACTATAGAATATCCTTGTTGATTAGACTCTCTCCAATTGTAGACAAAACTTACGGACTTAAGCCTAACTCGCTTATATTTTTTTATTTTAGGAGCTTCTCCTCTGTGTTATAAAGAATCTGTTTGACGAATACAGATTCTTTCGCGAATACCCAGAAAGGGAATTGCGAACAACAGCAGAAGTCTATGGAGGCATTATAAGAGAAGAAATTGTTGAGTAAGTTTCTTGTCAAGTTTTCTCTTTACAAATTTAAATTAGTTATAGACAAATTCAATTTGCTACGGCTGTTCGCCGTGTTATTGAGTCATTAAATGATGAACCTGGAAGTATGCTTTGGACTTTTGGAATTATTGCTTTGAATAGCTGTCGAGCAATTCTTCATAAATATCCAAAATTTTGTGAAATGGTTGTTGCTCTTGAAAGTTTTAATCGCTTTCCTTCTGGGCTGAAAGACTATTTGACGTTTGGAGTGAAAAGTCAACTTCCTCCAACACACAGTGGTGACAGAGGTGATATTACTTGGACATCTGGGCAATCTTTTATTCCAACTGGAGGGATGATTCAAGCTTCGCCCTTTAATATTCCAATGATTGGATCGACACAGCCTTTGTCAATTCCGCCAAATATTGGAGGGATGAAGTTTTCTGCTCCAAGAGGACTTAATGCGGTAAGAGGACTTTCTTTATTTTTCAAGTTTTAATAATCCATCCCTTTTAATTACAGGGAAATTCCATGTTAAACGTCACCAATGTCGACATTCTTGTTAGTGCAACTGAGAGAGATGGTACACAAGTCAAACAGCCTCCACAAGTTGTTTTTGAAAAAGTTGCTTTTACTTGCAACAATTTGTGTACTAACAACCTCATGGAAAAGGTTTTTTATTTCTAAAAATATTGGGGTTTTTCCCGAACAAAACTATCAAAATTTATTTCCTCTTACTTTTCGTGTTCACTTTGTTCCCAAATTCTACAATCCTTCCTTGATATACTAATCATAAAACATTATTTTCAGACTCAAGAAATCAACGAACTCGTAAAGGAAGGTGGTGAAGAATTCAACAAATGGTTTGCCCAATATCTGGTTATGAAGCGTGTAACTGTCGAGCAAAACTTCCAACCTCTCTACAATTCTTTTTTAATGCTGATAAACAACGAGACTTTGGATGAATTTATTCGCAAAGAGACTTTTCGAAATATTGATATTCTTCTAAAAAGTGACAAACGCCAAGCTGTTTCTAATTTTGGTGATCGTCAATTACTTAAAAATCTTGGACATTGGCTTGGAATAATTACTATAGGAAGAGATCAACCAGTTTTGGCTAGAAATTTGGATTTGAAGTATTTGTTGATTGAAGCTTTCTATAAAGGACAACAAGAATTGCTTTATATTATTCCATTTGTGGTTAAATGTCTGAATGCGAGCGCTAAGAGCACGGTTTAATTTTATTTTGATTTTATTAGAATTAAGTGATTTATGGTTTCCAAATTTTGGATTTTACTTTTTTTAATAGTCCCTCCCAATTTCTTTTTTGGGTCTATGTCCTATTTCCCCATACATATTTGATATATTTTTAAGGGAATTTTATAACTCTTTTTCGACATTTTATCTAGTTATTAAATCGTTTTGCAGATTTTTGGACCTCGGTGTGCTTGGATCTATTCTCTTCTCAAAGTGCTTGTCGAAATTCACAACGAACCGGACCTTAAACTCAACTTAAAATTTGAAATTGAAGTTTTATGCAAAGACCTCAGTATTGACTTACGAAGCGTTGAAGTTGGGAATTATTTGAAGGAATCTAGCAGACTGGTTAGATTAAAAAAATTTAACACTAAGTTTAATTATTTTTATTTTTAGCCAAAACTTTTACCTGTCAAACCAGATGGTCTTTCGCCCGTTCCATCTTCTTCTATGGGACCACTTCAACAGGCTTTCCATTCAGGAATGTCCATGTTTGGTGGAGTAAATAGGCCTGGTTCTGCTTCAGAAATGCTCTCGAATTTAAATATCTCGGCTACTGGTGGAAGAGATTCAGCATTTTCTGCATCGCCTGCCTTTTCTTCACAACAAGCTTTGCAATTGCCTTCAAGAAGTTCTGTTCAAACTCCGGCAATTCCAGCTTTCAATTATGCTGATTTGAACATTTTTACTCAATCAGGTTTTTAATTAAGATTGAAAGTACTAGTAAGATTCATCCTTTATTATTTATTATCCTTGCACTTAAACTGAATTCTTTTATAGAATTAATTTTAGTAGTCGTAGAAATTAATGCTTATTTTTAAATTTTTAATGCATTTATTCTGTTAGGTCTTTTGCAAAATACAACAATTCCACAGCATCTTATTCTTTTCCAAATGCATCCAAATTTGAAGTATCTCTGCAAGAATGCAATTCTACATGCAATTAAAGAACTTATTGGTTTGTTTTATTTTTATAACTTTTATAATTTTCCTTTAAACAATCAGGTGGAATTGCCGATCGTGCAATTAGCGTTGCAATAACTGCCACAGAACATGTCTGCCGTAAAGACTTTTGCCTCGATCCATCAGAGCAAAACATTCGTCGTGCAGCTCATCAAATGATGCGTGCAATGACTGCAGGAATGGCAGCAATTACATGTCGAGAACCATTGGCAACAACAATGCTTGGAATGCTTAAACAATCACTTTGTAATTCTATAGGAAATATTCTAACTGGAAGTGATCAAGCAAAAATGATTGACGAGACAGCAATTGCTGTAACAGAAGCAAATATTACTTTGGCAACAAATTTCATTGTCAAAAGTTCTTGCGAGAAGGCAGTTATTGAAATTGAAAAACGTTTGGATTCTGAATTTGCTGCACGTAGATTGGCTATGAAAGAAGGTAGAACATTCCAAAGTGGGGCTGAATTGACGGCTGTTTTGGAGAAAGTTCCTGAAATGATTCGAATTTATCAAGGAGTTACAACAGAATCGAATATTAAAATTTATGACGACTTTTCTGCGTATGAATTTTTTTAAATCCAAAACATTTCTAATTCTTTTACTTTTTTAGAAAGATTTGTGGTTTCAAGCCTCTCGTTCCTGAAGAACGTTTTATCGAGTTCACACGTCGTGGTCAAATGACAACTCCAGCAGCTGGTAGTGGTCCAAGTCGAACACCAACAAATGCTTTCTCTACTCCATTTGTTCCAGCTACAAGTATTTCATCATTACCCGATGGTCGTCCTCCTACTGCAATTACTTTGCCAAATATGCTTCCTTCGCATCCATCGCAATTGCAACATCCAACAGCAATTATGGGTGGTGATAGAATGCAAATGAATTCAAATTCTCTATTTCCTGATGAAAATACTTTTAACTCTGCAAATCTTGGATTAAGAAAAATGAATGAAGATCAAATATTGCAAAGCAAAGTAGAGACTATTTTGAGGGAATGGATTACTATTTGCTATACTCCAATGGCACAACGTGATCCTCAACATGCTTTGGCATGTATTGTTCAAATGGTTTGTTTTAATTTTTATACTTATATTTTTTGGTAAATTGAATTGAACACTGGGAATAGAGTTAGGCACAAAAGAATATTATTAAGTTTAATAAATTTTTGGACATTTTCTTCTGATAAATCTTTTGTTGGGGCATTCTTGAATTATTTTTTTAATTTTTATAGATGCATGACAATGGAGTATTAGCAACTGATGAAATGATTACCAAATTCTTCAAAATTTGTGCTGATATTTGCTTTGATGTCTCTTATCGTCTTCTCAAAAATGATTGTATTGGACAATCAACAGTTGTTCGTCAACGTTGTTATTATACTTTGGATGCCTTTACTAAATTAACTTGGTTTTTCTTTTAAATTTTAAAATAGTTTTAATAAAAGCAAATTTTAGTTTAATGGTTAAATACAGTGATGGACAACATCATTCAACAAAAGTTAATTTACTCAAAAAGGTTTTGAACATTCTGAGCAGCGCTGTCCACAAAGATCATGAACAACGAAAATTTGATTTTAATGGGATGCCTTTCCATCGAATTTTAATTATTATGTTTAATGAATTGACAGCTCCAGATCCTGTTTTGGATCCAATCCAGTGGCACATTCTTGAGGCTTTCGGGTATTTTGCTTTTAAATAATTAGTTAACTGTCCAATAAATTACCAAATAATTTTTATGACTTTTTTGACACTAACACAGGGGGATTTCTTCTTAATGGGGTTTCTTCTTTAAAAATGTTATGTAAATAAACATATTTTTAGACAAACACTTTTCTTACTTCAACCTCGTCGTGTGCCTGGATTTGCTTTTCATTGGCTTGATATTATTGGACATCGAAACTTTATTGGGCGATTGCTTGCTGATTCTTTTGATTTGGGTCGAACTGGTGCTATGTATACTCAATTAATTCTCTGCCATCTTAAATTCTTGGCACTTTTTCTTCGCAACGTTCAACTTCCAAAACCTATTTCTTTTATTTATAAAGGAACTTTGAGGGTTTTGTTGGTTATTCTGCATGACTTTCCAGGTATTTTTTAGTTTTTAATTGAGTCTTAATATTCAAAAATACGGAACGATTCTTTTGCCTTTTCCATTTCTTAGTTTCCATTTCCACGCAATGAGGATAAATTTATTATTTTTAATTTCAGAAATTCTTTGTGAGTATCACTATGTTCTCTGCGATGCAATTCCACCAAATTGTGTGCAGCTGCGCAATTTGATTTTAAGTGCATATCCAAGAGATATGAGACTTCCAGATCCTTTTGCAGAGAATTTTTCGAAGGTTTTTTCAGAAAAATATTTTTTTCAATTTCCTTTTTTTAGATTGAAAACTTTCCGGAAATGAGTACAAATCCAAAAACACACAAAGAAATTAACAATATAATTTCTCAAGATTTACGTAAACGTTTGGATGATTATTTAGAGACTCGTTCTTCAATTAGCTTTTTGTCTGACTTACCAACATTTCTTGAAACATCATTACAACAACAACCATCGTCATCATCACCTAGTCAAAAATATAATATTAGTGTTGTTAATGCTGTTGTTATGTATGTTGGTGTTAAAGCTATTGATTCTATTAATGAAAAGAAACAACAAAAAATTTCTATGGAAAGTATTGCACATACTGCTTTTATGGATATTTTTCAGAATTTGGCTGTTTCTCTTTGCACTGAAGGTTTTTTTTGAAAATTGTTTTTAAAATATATTTGAACTGAAAAAAACGGGCTGGTACTGATTCTTTGGGAATCCAAAAATTTCTAACCCCTTTCTTGAAAACACCAAGAAAGAATAAACTTAAAATTTAGGTAAATACTTGCTCTTCAATGCTATTGCCAATCAATTGCGTTATCCAAACTCGCATACTCATTACTTTAGTTGTACAATGCTTTACCTCTTTTTGGAGGCAAATTCTGAACAAATTCAAGAACAAATTACTCGGTAAGAAATTCGTATATTCTGTTTATTTATAATTTTGGGAGAATGATCCATCCGAGCGTATCCCTTAAATTTGAAAAAAAAGTTTTTTGTTTTAACTTGTTTAATTTCTTTACCATTTTTGAAGTTTTCCAAAGTTTTTTTGGACCTTTCACTTCTCGTTTCTGTTATTTTTATTTTTTAATTTCAGAATTTTATTTGAACGTCTCGTAGCACTTCGACCACATCCTTGGGGTCTTCTCATAACCTTTATTGAACTCATAAGGAACCCGCGTTACAATTTTTGGAAGCATGATTTTGTCCGTTGTGCACCAGAAATCGAACGGTTTATGTGGGTGAATGGAAAATATAACCTAATTTTTTTATTTTTTAGTTTGTTTATGAGTGTTGCTAATTCTTGTAGTGTTTGTTCTATTCCAACAGAACAACAATCTAATGGAACTTGAATATAATGATGTGAGGTTATTAGAAAATATTTTTGGGAGAAAATTTAAAAAAAGAGAGGAAAAAGAAAATTATTTGTAAGGGTTAGTTAATTTTAATAATGAAATTTTAAATATTATTTTTTGTTTAATTTATAAGGACAATTCAATTAAAAGAGATAATTTAACCGAAAAAATTAGAAATAAGCTGTCATTTGTCGGATGATTTTTTTGAAATTTTGAGCTTCAAAAAATTTTCTTTAAATTTTTTGGTGTTTCTCTCCTTTAAGTGAATTGTCTCTATAAAAGGTTTAATATATCTATATTCGTTTCACATTTGCCATTTTTATGTTTTTATTAATTTTGTTTTGATTATCGACACACAACCAACTACATATTTAACTTGTTTTTTTCCACACTCCCGGGTAATTATTAATTACTATTATATTATTTGGATTTTTTAAAAACACTCATTTTTGTTGTTCTCGCTCTATATATGTATCCTCTCTTAATTTTTTTTTTGATTTTAAATAAATGTGTTTAATTTTTAAAAAGATATTGAGTGTAATCATGTTAATTGAAATTTTAGTTCTTTCTCTTATTAATACACGTTAGTTTTGGCGAACCCAAAAAACATTAATTTAGCGTTTGTATCTTCTTTTGGATTGAAGTATATCTTCAGGATTGAAGCCTTGACAATATTGGAGAAAAGGAAAAGTTGAGCATCCCCCACCCCTCGTCCCCCTCCCTATGCAGCAAGCCCAGCCTACGCCGCTAATAAGTTTTCAAAACATAAATGCCAGCTAGAATATGGTTGTGTTTAGCTTATGAGGATTAGGATTCGGTAAATGATTATTTTGGTGTTTCTGTATTACCGAAATTAAAAAATCGAGTTCAAAAATATTTGTCTTTAATATAACTCTTGCAACGGACTGGCGCGCGCCCAACTTAGCGGATTTAAAGTTGGACCCGTATTTTGCGGATCCTTCTTGTGTTTCATCGACTTCTGAAAGTTCAAAAATTTCCGTCTGCGGCACTTTAATTGAATAGTAATTGCGCTTGTTTTCAAATTTTTTAGTTTATTTTTAATCAAAACAACTTTCTTGATAAACAATAAAAGGGAATTTAATGACTGGTAATTTTAATAAAGTTTTGCTTCCATCAAATTCTTCAATCATTTTAGCAATTATTTCTCTAATCCAAAGTAAAGAATTAATTTGTAAAGATTGTGAAGTTAAACGTTCTTTTTTAAGAGGTTTTCCATTTTCTGTCTTCTTTCTTTGTAGAATTTGAAATACAAGAAATCCTCTTTCATTTCGAAATAAATTTAATGAAATATCATAAATATTTGCATTTATTTCTTCAAAAGCTAATTTTTTGTTTGTATCTGTTAAATTAAAGAATAATACATTAATAGTGTTAGGGGGTTTTTGATTCAACTTTTTCAGAATAGAATTGCTAGTTTAAAACGACTGAAAATTTTTGGTCTTGCGAATCGAAGGACTCGGTTCGGGCTGGGAAAATTTTCGATTGTGGCACTAAAATCGAAATCCTTCGTTGCCTGGATCCCGTGAAAGACCCCTTGGTTTGTTCTTGCAGAGTTCCATTATCGACGATTTTTCGTTTCGGTTAACCGAAGAAGTTTCGAAAATTGACTATCCTACTCTTAAACTTTCCAAATATTTTGTAACAATTTGGGGTTTAATTAATTGTGGATAACTTACTTGAAAGATCAAAAACCCGTTCCCCATCACAAGCAATAATAATTTTATCTAAAGCTTTAACAAAATTAAAAGCATCTGGCAATAACAATTTAGGTAAATATAAATATCTCCATTTATTGTTAACATCATCTTGTAATCTATAAATATTCATTATTTGAATAGTTCTGTTGCCCGACACCCCTTCTCTTAATTCAATTTTTATTTTATTATTTTCCCCAAGTTTCAATTCATCTGAAGCCAAAGTTATCCCTCCTAAAAATTTAAAAAAATTAATATATTTGTAGATATTATTTAAAGATTTTGCAGGTGAAAATTATGAGAAATGAAGGGGGTTGTAGGTGAAAAGAAATTCATTTTGTTGATATTTTCCCTCACAAAATTTTTCATTCTCCAGCTCAGAACTGATATTTTTTACTGATATATATTTTCATCAGTCCCGTTTTTAATAATAAAAAATAAAAAACCTTTTGGATTTACAACATCTATTTGTTCTATAAATTCATTAGATTCAAAGTTCTATAAAATAGAAAAAATAGAAAATATAAAATATTTAAAACCTTTAAATCAACACTTAATTCTTTTAATTTTTCACTTCCATCAAATTCTTCAAGTATTTTAACAAATATTTTTCGAATCCAAAGTAAAGAATTAATTGGAATAAAAATTGAATTTATTTTATTTTCTGACTTTAATTTTTTAATTAATTTAAATCCAAGTTGGCCTTTCTCATTTCGAAATAAAATAAGAGAAATATCATAAAAATCAGTAATTATTTCTTCAAACGCTAATTTTTTGTTTAAATCTAAAAATAATTTTAGATAATAAAAATATTTAAGAATCAAGATTTCGAAATCAAGATTTTAAAAATTAAGATTTCGACCGTTTTGGGTAATACCAAGGCTGGCCCCCCCTCCTTTTTTTCTGTTCTAGTTTTTTATTCATTTTCTATGGCAAATTAAATCCATTCGAAAGAGCTCTTTGAGCTGAGTCGAACGGTACTAAATTCATCGAAATCCAACTTAAATCAACATAGTTATGACCATTTGTTTTAATCCCTTTCAGCATCAAAAAAGCATACTCTTCGAGGATTTAGCTTCATAATTCTGCTGAGAATCTCCAAATCTAACCGAGCATAGTATCATTCTACCCAGCTCGAAGAGCTCTTTCGAATGACATATTGTAAATTATATGCCAAACAAAATCAGAGAAACAGAAAAAAGGAGGCGTCAGCCGAAGAATTACCAATTGTTCATTAGAATTTTGACAGAGAAGGAGAGGACAATCATACTATTATTATAAAAAGGGGGGCCAGCCTTGGTATTACCCAGTTTTAGAAAAAACTTATTAATATTTTTTATTCCCCAAAAAAACCTTACTAAATTCATCAAAAACCTTTTCCCCATTACAGGCAATAATAATTCTATCCAAAGCTCTAACAAATTTATAAGCATCTGTTGGCATCAATAAATTAGGTAAACGTAAATATTTCCACTCAGAATTTTCTGTTTTAAACATTCTTGCAAAACTAATTGTTCTTTTGCCAGATTTCCCTTGTATTAATGAAATTTGAATAATATTGTTTTCTCCAAGCTGTAATTCTTCTTGAAACAAATCAGCTTCCCCTAAAAATTAAAAAAAATTATAAAATATTTTTGCGGACAAAACTTTAATTGAAAACTTTCATTCCACAAACTTTAATGGCATTTTGGAATTAAAAAATATTTTTTAAAGGGTAGGGGGCAGTTAAATGGCCTTTGCGATTAACAAAAAATTTATTTATAAAAACTTTAAAAAATACCTTTATTTTTTATATCAAAATTTGCTTGATGATCTACAAATTTATTACTAGATTCAATTATCTATGATTTAAAAAATAATTAAAAATTAAATAAAGAAAAAACCTCAAAAGCAGACGAATTTCTATTATAACTAGATAATTTAACAAAACAAAAAGTTAAAGCTCTTCTATTAGATTGTCTACAAAAATAAGAATTAAATAATCTATTTAATTTTAACATTTTTCTATTCTAAAAATTAAAGATAATTAAAAAGGAATGAAAAACGAGACTGAAAAACTTTAGAAGGGGATTGAAATTAGAAATACTCATTTCTTCAAAAATAACAGATTTGAATGGATCCCCCACCATTATAATAAAAGAAAAATAAATAAAATTTTAATCAACTTCTTTTAAATCGAGAAAAACATCAAATGTATTAATGAAGACAATGGACATTTTTTGAAAATTTATATAAAATTTTAAAAAATTTCAAGAAAATAAAAATTCTTAAATAAGAGATTTGTTTATCTTCAGGTGTAGGCTGCTTATCACTTTTAAGTGGCTTGTGCAAACTACAAATTGGAAATAAATATTTGTACTGTTTTTATACCGACAAAACATTGGAGAATCTTTTGCAAGTTTTTAAAAAAAATATAATCCATAATTTAGACACACAATTTGGTAACCGATTAATCTACACCTAAAACAAAATCTCGTTTATAAATTTTAAGAATGCTCACTTTAGAGCTAACCCATCCGCCGTACGCTCATGATTGAGCGATTTATCCACATACTCCAACCTTCTTTCCAAAAACCTGTTTCTATTTTCACTATCAACATCCTGTAGTAATATTATATTAGCCGTTTCAAGGTGAAGTTCTGCAAAGAACAGGGGTGTGCCTTTTCGTCTTTCGCTTTTAAAAATCTGTTTCGGCACACCCCTGCTAGAAACTACATATGTAGCAAGCATGTCCACAAGCAAGCCAAAAAATTTCGATTGTCAAAATTTAAAAAAATAAGTGCAAAATACAACTCAAGGATTCTTTTAGTTTGTCTATTCAAAATGTGTGCCGAAACAGATTTTTAAAAGCGAAAGACGAAAAGGCACACCCCTGTTCTTTGCAGAACTTCACCTTGAAACGGCTAATATAATATTACTCCAGGATGTTGATAGTGAAAATAGAAACAGGTTTTTGGAAAGAAGGTTGGAGTATGTGGATAAATCGCTCAATCATGAGCGTACGGCAGATGGGTTAGCTCTAAAGTGAGCATTCTTAAAATTTATAAACGAGATTTTGTTTTAAGGTGTAGATTAATCGGCTACCAAATTGTGTGTCCGAATTATGGATTATATTTTCTGAAACAAACCTGCAAAAGATTCTCCCATGTTTTGTCAATATTTATAAAAACAGTACAAATATTCATTTCCAATTTGTACTTTGCACAAGCCACCACTTAAAAGTGATAAGCAGCTACACCTGAAAATAAAAAACTCTTAGAATTTTAAAATTAAATAAAGATTTTACGAAATTAAATTATAAATATACTCTTATGTTAATCTTTAAAAATATCTTCTATAATTTAAAATAATTTATTTATTTAAATCTTCGCGCATTCAAAGAAATAAGCCGCAAACATTTTCATTCCATTTATGTAATTGTAGACATCCAACTTTTCATTCTAAAAAAATTTTTATTGAAAAATTAAATTAAAAAAACCTGTGAATGTGCCATATCATCAGAACGTCCCATAGGCAAAAGCATAACATTTTTTCCAGTAATATTCTTTAAAAAATGGTTTTATAAATTTTTTTTTAAATAAAAAAAACTTGGAATGTCAAAGTAACAGGAATACTTCCACCTTCTCTAGTAAAGTCAGGCTCAACTCCATAAACTTTAAAAAAAATTAGAAATTAAAAATCACTTTTCGAAAAAACCTTTTTTAACAGCATTTGCCCCAGCTTTATAATGTGCATGTCTAAAATCACCCAACCAAGCCAAAGCACCGCCGCTAGGAATTACTCTAAACAAAAAATATTTTTTGTAAAACTTTCTTTAATTTACCTAATTTTGTTGGCAGTATTTCTTTCAGCAAAGATTTTAGTCAAATGAGCGATAACAACTTTATCAACTTCAGCTGGAAACATATCTGGCACGAGTCTATAAAAATTAGAATCTTTTATAAGACTTTCAGTCAGTTTTATGTCTCTCTAACATTCCCTGTTTATGTCAATAAGTCGATTCTCGTTAAAGTATATGCCTTGGACAGAAAAATTGTTGATTAAAATTAGTTTACTAAACTGATTGTGAGTGTATTGCTTACATTGGGCAGCGACTAACAAAATAAAAAAGATACATTAAACTGACAACGAGTCCTATTTAATAATTGAGGTACACTATAACGAGATTCGACTTGATAACAATTATAGATCAAACTTTCTTGAATATTACTCCGGAAAGCAATTAAACTTTCTTTTTCTTCGTTACAAAACAAATTTTAAATTTAGAGAATTAGAGACGGATAAAAAAAAGAAAAACTCTACTAATTTTCAGTACAAATTTAGTAATTAAAGTTCACTAACCGAATGCTGAATTTGCCAATAACCTTAGCCGGTATAACAGTTTTTGTTCCTTTCCCATAAAAAGCCCCCTCAATACCTAAAAAAATTGTTTAAATGAACAAATTCTCTCAAACCCTACCGTGAACAGAAAGTGAAGGTTGACGCCATCTACGCATTAAAATTTCTTTTGGATTTGTTGAAGTTAACTTGCCAACTCCAATATCCTTTTGAAATGCCTCCTAAAAGTGGATGTTTTTGAATTTAAAAAATAAAACTCCGACCATGTCAAATGATGTAATCTTGTCATAAAGCTAGAAAAAAAAGAAATCCTTTAAAAACAATTATTTATTAGAGTACAATTAATTGGGAATAGCAAGGGCAGATAGGGGGTCGATTTCAGGGGGCTGAAATGGAGGTGTTCGCCAAAATTTTGGCTCCACCTCAAATTTTTCACTTTTCCCCATTTCGGGGGGGGGGGGGGGGCTTTAGCCTCCAGGCTATGCCCTTGGGGCGTAGCCTATTGCTTTCTTCAGCATAAGTCACACTCTCTTTCAACTTCCTATCAAGGAACAATGAAAGTAGGCGTGGGGCTTTAACCCAAAAATTGCACACCAATTAATTGTACGATTAATTGGGTTGAATTGTTTACCTCAGACTCTTCTTTTGTCAATTCTGCCACCATTTTATCCAATCCACTAAAAAATATTTTTTTTGAATTTATAGAAATATACACTAGATACCTTATAAGAATATTGCCATTATTGTCAGTTAATTGACTCAAAATCCAGCAAAGATCAATCATTGGTTCGTGTCTTAAAAATTTATTTATATTTGTGCTCTAGTATTAACTTGAGTATTTCTCGGTTTTGGTATTTTTGGGTTATTTCCATTCAAATTCTATAGAGATTTACTAAATTCTCATACTGATCGTTTTCTAATCACCACTACGAGCCTGCAAAAAAATTTAAGGGGACAACCGAGAAGTACCCAAATTTATAATTAAAAAACAAACATTGCCCCTCCATAAGTCCCAGAATGTAAATCTTGTTTTGGAGAAGTAACCTCTACTTGATAGGAACAGATTCCTCTTTAATTAAATTAAAAATAAGAGAAAATTATTTAAAAGAATTATTAAAAGTTTAGTAACGGGGTAGAATCTCCTGATGTGGGGAGTTTTTAATAACTATATATTCTAAATGAGTTCCCTATCTCTAATATAGACTGAGGACTTGCTTATTAGTAAACTAACAAAAATTCAATTTCATTTAGTGATTTAATCACCGTCTATAAATGTTCAACATTAAATTAATTTTTTAAAAGTTAAAAATCAAATAAGTACCTAAGTCCATAAGTAATACAAGGTTTTTCCTTTCCAAGCCAATAATTATCAGAAATACAAGTAAAGTCAACATCTTCCAAAAATTCTTTTTTATATTTATTTAAAATTGTGTCTAATCCCAAAGAGCCACTTTCCTCCATTCCTTCAAAACAAAACTAAAAAATAAATAAAATTTTTTCAATTCCAAAAAAATTAAAAAAAACTTTTAAATTAATCGGAATTTCAATTCCCAATTTTTGTAAACTTTCAATAACATTAAGCCATCCAAGTACTGGACCCTTATCGTCTGTAGAACCTCGTCCAAATAATTTCCCATCAATTTCGGTTAATTTAAAAGGTTCGGTATTCCTAAAAAATATTTAAAAGAAATTTTGTTTTATTTGATTCTTGTGTCCTTCCTTTTTTCCTTTAAATAAAAGTATCAAAACTTTATTAAAAGTTTTGTTTATGACCGGTTTATTTTATGTGGCGGCATATGTATGGAGAATAATAAATTTTGAGCACCACAGGTAAAAATTAACAAAATAACCCTACTTAAAGGTATTCCTAGTCCCTAATTATTTGTCCCTTGTGCACTCGGTCCCCGAAACCCCCGACGAATTTTTAGGTAAAAATCCCGAAGGTTCTACCACGACAAAAAAAGGCTCGGGGGTGCTACCCTATTTGAAAACAAAGAGGTTCTAGTTCAAATCCCTTTACATAAAATTTTCAACGTCCAAAACTTTTGTAAAATTTTCAAAAAAAAATATATATTTCTTAATTTACCATCCGTCATCAAAATTGGCTGGTTGAACATCCAAATGTCCATAAATAAGCAAAGTCTTCTTATTTTTGTCCTTCCCCAAAGTCCCAAAAAGAACTGGAGGAAGGGGAATTGTTGTTCCGTCAGGCAATGTTTGGGTACTGTTTTCTATTTGTTTACAAGAAATTCCAAGTTTTGTCATCATCTTTAGAATTTTTGTTTAAATTAAAAAAATTAATTAAAAAATACTTTTTCAGTCCATTCAATCATTCTAAAAAAAGAAAAAAATATTTTAATTATTTTTGTAAAATTCTCTTCTTACTTAAAGACATCCTGTCGGTGTTCAGCAGTTGCAGAAACACTTGGAATTGCAACAGCCTCACGTAAACGTTCAATCCATAAATTTTTGTTTGATTCGATATATCTAGAATAAAATAAATATTTTTTTAAATTAATGTATGAACTAGAGAGCAGGGTGATCCTTTCCGACCCACCAAAAGGGGGAATGGCTTTAAAAAAGGGGGCACTATTTAAAAAAATATAATTTTTTGTGTGGTTTATATATTTACACAATTAACCCAAGAAAATTATATCCAAAACTAAAAAATCCTTCGAAAAAGAATTTTCTAATTTTCCCCCCACAATTTCTAGCCTCATAATTTCAAAAATATTTTTATAAAAACAAAACACTTACTTAAATATATTTTCACAAATTTTATCCTCAGCAGACATTTTTATTTTTAATTTTTTTTAGTAAAATAAATACCGTATTTCCTATATTAGAGCCCCACCCTCTGTTAGAGCCCCACCCTCTAATACAGCCCCACTTTGGAGGATAGTTAAAAAATAGAGCCCCACCCTCAATTAGAGCCCCACCCCAAATAAAGCCCCACCTAAAAAATATTGGAGGAAAAATTATCCCAATAACTTTTTAGATGTATTAAGAGAGTTAAGGAAATAAAGGGGATGGATCTCGATGATATCGCGATCAAGAAGGAGGAGGGATCATAGGAATATAGAAATGAAAAGGAGGGGATAACTTCGATATCCGCCCAAATACTCTAGAATCGCCTATATTCCTCCAAATCCCTCCTATTATCTCCAATAAAATAAATTTATGAAGGGTTGCAATTTTTGAAGGGTTTCAATATGAAGGGTTGCAATCGTGTTAGGCACTTGGCGATAATTCGAGAGATTATTAAAGATCTATTAGAGATCTCGCTTATAATCAGTGATGAAGTTCCAAAATTTCTCCAAAATCGGTTCCAGTTCTGGAACTTGTTCAAAAGCTTCATCAAACAAAATCCCTTCATTTGCCTCCTAATACCCCTAGTCCAGAATATCCCTCTTAATCCCGCTAAATCTCTCAATATAAGCTTAATCCTCTGTATTCCCCATAATCCCTTAAAAGCCACTCTTATACCTCTGATCCATCGATGTCAAACACTAGTCCCCTAATATTTCCTTTAATCCGTCCAAATCTATTAATATTTAATATTAATCTTACTCTTATTGAATTATTGTGACTATTTTGTTATTCATTGCTTAAAAAGTTTTAATTTTTCATGAAAAATCAAAAAAAATATCGATTCGCTTTTGATATTTTCGGTTTTATCGACCATCCCCTCCGGCCTATCTCTTGTTGCAATGGACAGTTAATAAATGGGATTTTAACTCAAAGAGGGTTGAAAAATAGAGCCCCACCCTCAATTAGAGCCCCACCCTTTAATACAGCCCCACCCTGGAGGATAGTTGAAAAATAGAGCCCCATGGGGCTCTAATATAGGAAATACGGTAAATTGTGTTAATTAATTCTAAAAAATATATAAATGATAAAAATTAGGGAAAATGTTTTGCAAAAACGAGTAAATATATTTAAATGATAAAAATATTTGGTAAATTATTTACTTTTAAATATTTTTGTGGAGAGAATAAATAAATAAAAAGATAAGAAAAAGCGAATTAAAAAGAGATAATTTTACAAAAATATTTTTTAAATAATTTTTGAGCCATTTTCTCTGATAAATAAAGTAATGTGTAAATATACTTAATTACAATATAAATTTTTTTGATTGTGGAATAGTTGGTTAATGAATCAAAGAATAAAAATAAGTAGAGCAATGAAGTAGAAAAAAATATTTTTTAAATTTTTGAATTGGGTAAAACTCGGTAAAGGACGATTCAGTATCGCCGATTAAGTATCCGGGTAAAAGAGGACGATTCAGTATTCGTAGGATAAAACACCGTCAAGTAGTTTTCACGCGTGCATCAGCGGCTTGAAAATACTGTGTGTCTATAAAGTCGAAAAGTAAACAGGGCGGCTCCCATACAAAATCTCTATTCCTTAAAATCGCTATTCCTTAAAATCTCTACTAGGCTAAAAATGCTTAAAATCTCTATTCCTTAAAATAACTATTCCTTAAAATCTCTACTGGGGTAATAATAATTAAAATCTCTACACCGCGCGAATGGACGGTTGAGTCTCAACTAAAGTGTACCATCTGAATCTTTCGCTGGAAAAACCAGACTTGGTAATAGATACGGATATGGATACAATTAATTTCAAAATGGATGCGGATATCCGCCTGTATCCAAATATCGAAGATATACTACACGACTGCTTCGCTGCAGTCGTGTTCATTTTGCTTGCGGTGATCGTATCGAAGCGGATGCAGTTGTTCCGCTGGACAGACCTGGGTTCATCCGCAGCGGCAAAAACAATACAAGCAAAATAATATCAAAAGATAATACAGAAATCAGAACAACGTTTCCGCACTTAACGTTGGCACTGAAAAGGCTTCCGAATGAAAAATAGACATTTTATCCTATATTTGGCCGTTTACCCGTGTAGAGATTATTAGGAATAGAGATTTTAAGGAATAGTTATTTTAATCATTTTTAGCCGAGTAGAGATTTTAATGCATTTTAGCTGTGTAGAGATTATAAGGCATTTTAGCCCAGTAGAGATTTTAAGGAATAGTGATTTTGAGGGGATACGAACAGGGCAGACTATGTTATCTTTAAATTTATTTGAAAATTAAAAAGTAAATTGATAATACATTTTATGCTAAAAATTAGTCTAAAACAAATAAACTTTGCTAAAATAACGATTAAAGGAAGAACCTAGTTAAAAGAGGCGATCAACAAGAAGTATTCCATTATTTACCCTTTTGTACTTACCCTTTTGAATATTTTATGGTTTTATGTATTTTGAATATTCTCTCCGATTTCTTTCGAAATATCTAAATGATGACTGAACAATTTTTTTTATCTTTTTTTTTGTTAATTTTTTTCACATTTTTTAGCAAATCTTTTAATATTTCTAAGATGGAAGTTGACACACCAGTAGATCTTGATGCTACTATTCCAAGTGAAATAGAGACACTTATTGGTGAAGATGATTATTTGACATTAAAGAAATTGGAGAATAAATTGGCACATTTGGATGTTATGGAATTTGTAAGGGTTTTTTAATGTTATATGTAGAAAATATTTAGTGATTTTTTAAATATTATAATCAGCTATTTATTTTTTTCCTAAATTTTTCCCGCAAGAAAAACCAACACGAACATACTGGATAATATTTTCCCTTATCTTTCCTTTAGACCGAGTCATTTTATTAGCTCTTTTTATTTTCTAGTTTTAAATCAAAACAAATGATTTTTTAAGCAAAAATTTTATTATTTTTTAGTATCTCAAAAAGGATATGCGTAATTTGGAGAAAGAATTGGTTCATGCACAGGAAGAGGTTTTTTAAAATTTTAAAACTATTTTGTCTTTAATTTTAAGGTTAAACGTATTCAATCTGTTCCTTTAATTATTGGACAATTTCTCGAAGCTGTTGATTATGATCATGCAATTGTTAGCTCAACTACAGGTTTTTATTTTAAAGATTTTCATTGAAATTTTTTGTTACTTATAATTAACCTGTCTTTAGTAGAGCTGCTTAAAGAATAAATTCTCATTTCCAAATTCTATTTTATTTACTAGAAAAAGAACTATCTTTAACCTCGCCAAGTATAGACTTGGTATCTGTATTTTTTTTACGTTTTTGGCTTATTTTCTCGATTACAAATTCCCCACTTCATAATGAATTTAGAAACAAAACTGATTTTTCTATAATTTTCAAAAAAATTTTTTAAATTTAATTTTTAGGTTCAAGTTATTTTGTTCGAGTTCTTTCAATTCTCGATCGTGAATTGTTAAAGCCTGGTTGTAGTGTTGCTTTGCATAAATATAGCAATGCTTTGGTTGATGTTCTTCCACCAGAATCTGATTCTTCTATTCAAATGCTTCGTCCAGATGAAAAACCTGACGTTTCTTATTCGGATATTGGTGGATTGGATACTCAAAAGCAAGAAGTGCGAGAAGCTGTGGAACTGCCTCTCACCAATCGTGAACTTTATGAACAGGTTTGGGGAAATTTTAATAATGTTATTTTTTATATATGTGGTTTTTCATGTATTCGTTATTTTTGAAAAATCACATAAGGGTAATTTTTGTAACGTCAATTACACATTTCTAAAAAATTAAAGGATATTATAATAAATTTAAAAATTTTTCAAATTCAGATTGGAATTGACCCTCCTCGTGGAGTTCTCCTTTTTGGACCTCCAGGATGTGGAAAAACAATGCTTGCCAAAGCTGTAGCTCATCATACAAAAGCTTCGTTTATTAAAGTCGTTGGAAGTGAATTTGTTCAAAAATATTTGGGAGAAGGCCCTCGAATGGTTCGGGATGTTTTCCGTTTGGCAAAAGAAAATAGTCCTTGCATTATTTTTATTGATGAAATTGATGCAATTGCTACAAGACGTTTTGATGCACAGACGGGGGCTGATAGAGAAGTACAACGAATTTTGTTGGAATTATTAAATCAAATGGATGGATTTGATCAAAATACAAATGTTAAGGTAGAAAAAATAAACAAAATTAATTTCTTAAATTTTATCCCCTTTTCGGCAAATTTTAATTTACTAGGAATTTTTGTATATCTGAATTTTTAAAGGTTATAATGGCAACAAATCGTCAAGACACCCTCGATCCTGCATTACTTCGTCCAGGCAGATTGGATAGAAAAATTGAATTTCCAATGCCTGATCGACGACAAAAACGTTTAGTTTTTTCAACTGTGACAGCCAAAATGAATTTAAGTGATGAAATTGATCTTGAAGATTTTGTTTCTCGTCCAGATAAAATTTCGTGTGCTGAAATTGCTTCGATTTGTCAAGAGGTTTTTAATTTATAAATTATCTCCTGAAATTTCTTGGGTGACGGGAAAAGATTATCGAAACGAAGGATTTGGTTAAATTCTGTAAATTAATTCTTCCTCGGTTTTGAGTAAAAAATAATGAAAAACCCCGCATCGTTTTCTCATGTTTGGGCTCCAACATTATTCCCAGCTTTATTCCGAATTTGAACTTATTTTAAATAATTTTTTTTCAAAACTTTAAAGGCGGGAATGTATGCTGTTAGAGAGAATCGCTACATGGTCCTTAGCAAAGATTTTAACAAGGCATATAAACAAGTGGTTAAGAAGGATAGTGATACTTTTGACTTTTACAAATAATATTTAAAAAAATATTTTGTGCGGATTTTAAGGAAAGCTGTGTCAATCTTTTATTTAAATAAATGAAGGTAATTATTTATTAGAATTAAATAATGAAGAATTGAAAATTCTGTTTTTAACATAAAAATTGTGCTGTTGGCGACCGGTTAATTTTTCCCTATAGCAGCTCAAAAAGAAAAGAATTAAGAGCTTTTTAGCCGCCACAAGGAAGAATTAACCGGTCGCCAACAACCTTAAGTAAAAAAATTAATAAGACCGTAAATTTGTCAGATAAGTTCTTTGTTCGTGTAAAATTCTATTTCCTAACCAACAAGAATTAAAAATACATTTTCTGCATTGAAAAACATCAAATTTTTCGGTTGTTGATTTTCGTTCAATTTGCATAACCAAACGGTCAAAACACCTTTTATCTTTCACAGTAACAGACCCAGCAATATTTTCTCCTGCATGTAAACCAAAATGACTTAAAAAAATTTTTGTAAAATTTTTAATTAAAATTATACCCAACACAACTTCTTTCGGGTATTTGAGTGTAAAAGTCCCAATAACCAAGTCCGGTCGCTCTTCTCCTTTTTTTGAAAAAAAATTTAACAAAATACATATTAATTTTTTACCTGTAGAGATTAAACCAAGCATGGTCTTGTCTTATTGTTAACTGTTTAAATTAAAAAATTAATTGGTTATTTTATTTAACTTATTTTTAAAATAATTGGGAATTTTATACTTTAATAGTTTTTTCTACAAAATAATTTTAATAAAATCAGAAAACTTTCTAAATTTTTATTAAATTTACCGTTCCTATTCTGTACCAGCCTCTAAAAATTAAAAAAATATTTCAACTTTTTATTTTAAATTTACCTAGGCAATTTTGTATCAATTCCATTTTCTTCTGTAAATGTTGGAATGGGAATGTGGGTTTCACAAGTTACAGAACTAATTAGTTTTAATTATTTTTAAATTTAAAAAATACCCGCAAGTAATTTCATTTGATTCTCTTAATTAAAAAATATTTAAATTTAAAAATAGGGAGAGAGTTCTTCGAATATTTTAAAATATTTAAATTAATTAATTTACCTGTAATATGTGCAGTAAACATTCCTTAATTTTATTTAATTTAAAAATTAATTTAAAAAGCAAACTCTGCTATAATTGAACCAAAACTTTTTAAAATTAAAAGACAACCAAAAATAGTAATCAAAGTCATTAAAAGAAAAAAGAAATTGATTTATTATTTGGAAGTATATAACATCTTCCTTTCTTTTTGTGAATATTTCTTCCATTACAATTCAAATTGGAAGGAGAAATAACCTTGAAATGAAAACGGGGAGTTTAGTAAAAAATCTAAATAATTTTTACAAACAGCCATGATTGGAATTAAGATTTAATTAAATAATTACACTCAAACCTCAATTATTTGGGAAAACTTCAATTTCTAAATTCAATTGGAAAAAAACATACAAATGTGTTAAAGAAAATTTTTTTTCAAACAAAATATTTAAAAAAATAACAAAATTTAATTAAAAAATACACAAATTCTTAATTTCTCTAAATAATTTATTAAATTCTTCATCTTCACATAATTCACAATTTTCTCCAAATTCTTTTTCAAAAAATCCAATAATTGGTTTTATTCTTAATTTTAATTGAGAATTTATCTGTATTTCTTCCAAATTTTGTATTTTCCAAAACAATTTAAATTCTTCAATTAATTCCAAAAATTGATTTAATAAATCCTTGTAATTTTTAAAAATCTAAAAATTAAAATTTTTTTTCAAAAAAATTAAAAAGAAATACCTTTCCTATAGTAATTCTATCAAATTCTTTTTTAAAAGCTTTTTCAAGTAAATTAACAAAAATTGTCCATTGTGTTATATCCTCTCCATTTTCTGGCTTTTTTAAGAACGCGTGAAGACGTTGTAACTAAAAAATAATTAATTAAAAGTATTCTAGAAAATTTACAAGGAATTTTCTGAATTATAGAGAGAAAGCTCTTCTAGTAAAAATTGCAAGAAATTTTACCAAGTTAAGAAGAGGTTGAGTTGGAGAGCACCAAGGAAACTCTGGGAATGGGAGGGGAAGGGGATACATATTTTTTGCATTATTGACAGCACCGTAATAGGTGTAAATAAATAAATTTGAATAAATTTCGTGTATTTTTTGGAATGGGATTTACTTGGTGAAGAACTTTGCAACACCAAGAAAAATCCAATTTTTTTTTTGATTGGACGCATAACCTAGGCCAGCACCAATTAATCATAAATCTTGTCAATCATTTCTTCCTAGTATATTTTTTATTTAAATTATGATTAAGGAAAATAATTATTTAAAATTTTATTTTTTGGACCTATTTAATTCTCTCAAAAAGCCCAGAATTTAAATAATTATCCAAACAGATTCCAAAAATATATTTAATCAAAAAAAACAAATCTCCAACCTTTCCACCAAAAGACTGTCTCGAACTTGCACGTGCCAAAACCCTCAAAAGTGATTTCTTCATTCCTTCCAATTTTTGGTACTTTATGGATATGTCACCCCCCCCTATTTTGAGTCTCAGAGTTTTCCTTAAACGTAGAAAATGGTCAGAGATTATTTTCTTATCCATGTCAATCATTTTTTTCTTCTTCAAGTATTTTGCTTGTTTATTTTGCTTTTTCCCATATTTTGTACTTACATTTCACTCATTTCGTTTAACATTTACCACATTTCACTTATTTTGCTTGCAGAAAAAAAAAATGATTGACATGGAGAAGAAAATAATCTCTGACCATTTTCTACGTTTAAGGAAAAATCTGAGACTCAAAATAGGAGGGGGGTGACATATCCATAAAGTACCCAATTTTTCTTTATTTTGTTCATTTAATATTTCAATCGACATAATTTCTAGAGGGCTTTCATCGATTTTTAAATTTTTGTCCAAATCCATTAATCTTTCCAAAGCAGATATTCCACTCTCATAATCCCCAATATCAACAGAAATTAAAAGAAAATTTGTCCAAAGGTAAGTATTTTCCCAACTTAATTTTAAGGCTTCCTTAAAAATTGAAAAATAAAGAAATTAAATTAAAAAAAAATACAAAAAAATACTTGTAAAATTTTATGTGCTCTATGTTTTTGATTTAAATGAATATATGAAGCTGCTAAAAAAGTTTTTTTTAATAATTTATTATATTTAAATTAAAATAAAAAAATTTACCCAAATTATTCCAAGCTTCAAAATGTTCAGGTTCAATATTTACACAACGATGAAAAGCTTTTACAGAAGTCTAAAGAATTTAAAAATAAAAAATATTTTTTTGATCGAATTAACCTGAAAATTGCCGGATTTCATTGCAGAATACCCATAGTTAAAATAAATACCAGGCTAAAAATTGAAATTAATTAATTGAAAATAAATTAATGAAAAACAGAAGTACCTGTAATGGTTGGATATCCAACGATTTTTCAAAATGTTTCATTGCTTCAGAAAAATTTTTTCGTTTTAACATTAAATTTCCTAATGATGCCCTGGCAAGTGCATTTCCATCTTCGGAAACCTAAAAAAAATTTTAGACAAAAATTTAAGAATGTCTTTCTTTCCTTAGTATTTTACATTTTTCAAAAAAATATTTCATAACAAAATCTCCCTCAAAACCCCCCCTCACTCCCCAACACCCCAAAACAAATATAAAATTTAAAAAACAAATACAAACTTCAATAGCTTTTAAATAAAAACATTCTTCATTTGTAATATTTCCAAGAAGACAATAATAAAAAAGATTTTCTCCCTTTTCTTCCAAAAGTTTTTTAATTAAAATTTCGGCCTTTTCAGATTGTCCAGAATTTAAATAACATTTAACAACATCTTCCCAATAATTTAATTTTTCAAATATTCTGATAGCCTCAGAAAAACATCCAAGCGAAAGCAAAATTTCTGCATGTAATTTGCTAACTTTCCAGAATGGAAGAGGAGAACAAACAAAAATTAAATTGAGTCGTTCTGATTCTATAGACTGTGAAAATTTAAAAGAAAATTGTGATTCTTAAATATAAATTTAAAATTTTATGCTTCAAAAAGTCTTATAATGTTAAAACGATAAAATATTAAACACCAAAAACCGTTGAAATGTCAAACAGAACTTTTTAGATTGACATTTCAAGGTGCTGAGAAACTTTAATTCCAAAGATTCTGGTTTAATTAAAGAACACCCAATAAAAAGTCTATACACATATTGTCCGGAAGAAAACTCCCCAACTCCTTCAACTTTTCCATTTTCACTATACTACAAAAATTCTGACATCAATTTTAAAATAATTTCCTTTTATTCTATAAAATTAACCTCATTTTTAACATTTTCATTCAAAATATTAGCTAATATTTCCATTTGAGAACAAGCCCTTTCAATTCTTCTAGAATTTTTTGCTTCCAATTTTGAACGTTCAATTAATGCTCTCATTTGTAAAGACCAAAAAGGACGTTGATCTATTACCTAAATTTTTAATTTAAAAAATCTTTAAAAAACAAAACCTCTTCCAAAAAAGCCATACAAGTTTCATCCTCAATTTGTTTTTCAATTTTACTTCCTTTCCTTTCTAATAATGCACTAACCAAAATACAAGCAATTTGGTGGGAATTAATTTTTTGTATTTTATTTTTGGGCTTTTCATCAAACAAAATTTTTTCCAAAAGTGTATCATCCCCATTCTTTGTATTTTGAATTATTTCTGTTGGTTCTTCTATTTTTTGATTGGTAGTAGAAGTTACTTCAAACTAAAAAATAAACAAAAAAAAGTATAATTTCAAATTTGTCAAGTAAAAGGGAGTAAAAAATGAAAAGTGAAAGCGTGAATATTTTAATAAGAAAGATAAATAAAAATATTTGTAAATCAAAAAACAAACCTCAACAAAAAGTTGGGGAACACTTTTTTCTTGAAATTGAGTTCTTTTTCCTAAAAATATAATTTATTACAAAAAGTAAAGTTAAAGTACTTCATTGGGAAGCAAAGGATATCCAGGGACGAAATTTTTAAAATATATCTACATAATGTCCAGCCGAAATTTTTAGGATTTTAAAAATCAAATAAGCCAAAATCCACTTCTAATACTAATTTTGTTTTCATAGTACGTACTTTTTAAAGTACAATTTTAATTATTAAAGCATCAATACAAACCCTGATTCAATATAATTTTCTTTAAAAATTAAATAAATTCTTTACCTAAAGCTCCACCTAATTGTAATTGTTTAAATCCGGCAAGTTTAATTGCTTCTTCTAAACATTTCTTTGAAGAGGAAAATTCAAAAAAATTTAAAAGAGAAAGTGCTCTTTCCAAAAGAAATTCTATTTGAAGATTTTTGGTAGTTGAAGAAGAAATTTTAAATAATAAATTGGACTAAAAATTAAAAAAAAATAAATTAAAAATTAATTTAAACTTAACTAATTCATTCATTTGTTTAAACAAATCAATTTGTTTGTCAATCAAAATATTTGACCAAATATTTAAAAAACGATATTTCCATAAAAGATGTTCAAAAGATGAATTTGAAGAAGCAGGTAAGTGACTGAAGGCTTCCTTTGCAGCAAACAAATGTTCAATAAAACTAAGAAAATTAAGAATTAATTTATTATACAGTGGTGGCCAGCAACACCATTGTTTCATTTTTTATCGCATCCTAGTTATTTTTAAAAAATGAATAAAAGTGATGAAACTCAAAAAAGTAACGAGAGGGTGGATTTCGGGAGGAATACAAGCGATTTTGGCATCAAAAAATCGAAATTTTGGCGCCTAAGGCGAGAAAAATTTAAAAAAATCGGTTGTTTATTTTCAGCGACACAGACGAAAATATTTAGATGATGAAAAGTTGCGTAAGCGAAAGAGATGATCTTTTTGGGATTCCTTCCTTCATCCAACCCTCACGCTAATAACCCAACCTAAATAACTAACCGAGCTCCATCAAACGGTTTATTCAATCCAAAAGATAATTCATTAAAAAAAAGCTCCTTCAGCTGTTCAATCGGTTCAAAACCTTCAAAAAGGTTTTTAGAGCCAAGAGATATACCTAAAAATAATTTTCGAATTGAAAAAAAAATTAAAAAATAAACGTTCAAATCCAGCAAAGTTAGCCCCAACAAAAATTAATAAATGAGAAACTGCACAATCAAATAAATCATCTTTCTTTAAATTTTTAATTTGTTGACGTAAAAGAATTAAAAATTCATTGTTATTTTGCATTATAAGAGGTAAACTTTTTTATTAAAAAATATTTAAATTAAAAAATATTAAAATAAATTTAAAAAATTTATAAAAAAATTAAAATATTTTAAATTCAAACCATTTATTAAAATTTAAAAAAATAAAAAAAAATATGTAAATTTTTATCTATAGAATATGCTTTTAAATATGAGTCTTAAAGAATACATTGGAGCAGAATAAGACAAAAAATAATAACCAGGGATTTGAATGGATGAGTGTTTTTAAACACAGAAATATTTTTTTTTGTAATTTATTGTTTAATAAAAAACTTTTTATTTTTTATTAAAGTTAGAGGGAAAAATCATAGGCGCCGGTCTAGTTTATGCGTCCAAGCCACAAAAAATTGGATTTTTCTTGATAAATCAAAGTTGGGGTATGGTTCCAAAACATTTCTTCATTTTTGAGACCTAATTGTAAGCCCACTGGATTAGACGCATAGAAGTTCATTAAATACTTAAATAAAAAACCCCATCGAGATTTTTAAAAAAACTCGGGCGGCCGCAGGCCGCTTCGGAGTAGCCTGGAAGTTGTGGAAGGGTCCTGCAACTTTTTACGGAGCATTCAGGAAAACTCCAACCTCGGTCCCACGATGAACTCTTGGCACCGAAACGGCCGCGGTTAAGTTGCTATCTCCTGAACCGTCTGTTGGATCGGAAAACTTCCGCTGTGAGGGCACTCCGTCACTAAATGAGGATAATGAATAAAAAAAATTTTTCGAAATTCGGTAAAGTCTTAATACAGATATGCCGTCTTAACCCTTTTTAAATGGTGGCCAAATGTCGTGGTCACTGGGTAGCGATCTTTTGATGATTTGTTATATCAAGACTCAAAATTTCAACTTTTTAATGCGTGAAACGTAGTTCGATTTGAGTGTAGCAGTTTATAGAGCGTCCTTTGAATGTATGAAAAATATATACTTTATTTGGGGTACACCTGAGCCCCTGGGAGATATAAGGCAAAAAGTGGCATTTTTGGTGCAAAAAGTGGTCGGTTTTTTGAGTATACCTTTTTTTAAAAAATTTTTAAAAATAAACGGACTTTAGATTCGTGTTCAGCACCTATTGGAGTACTATAAAACATATTTTTCTCGAGGTCGAATTTTTGGCCCATTTTTGAAGGGCCCCCTTTTGAAATTTTTTGGTGAAATTTAAATTGAGCATAACTTTGTTTATTTTTGTCGTAGCCAAATGAATTAAGGGTCATAAAATAGAGCAAAAAATTGCAAATTTTTTGAGCCATTTAAGTTTTGAAAAATTCCACCCGAGGCCTGGTAGGGTCGATTTTATGAAAATTCAAAATTTTTCGGTTTTTTGAAATTTTCTGGGGCATATCGAGTCTGAGTGTTGTTGCAAATATTTTTATAAAATAGAGCAGAATTTTTACTATATTTTAAGCTTTTAAAATGTTCCAAAATGGTTTATTTTTGGGGAGTTATGAATTTTTAAATATTTTGGTAAATTTTGAGTCTCAAAAATTGGGAAAAATTTTTGACGTGTCAAAAGTTTTTATTTTTTCCACAAAAAACGGTCTATGTGATGCTCTAGCATGCGCTAAGTACAAATCCGGCGTCAGAAAATTTTTAAAAATTTTCCCCGGACATTTAGAGTCTCAGAAATTTTTGCGACATTTGCGAACATTGGCCATAACTTTTTGAGATCATGTGGACCCCCACAATGTATACCTATTTCAGAGTCCCATAGGACGCTCTTTCAATTAGGGTATCAAAAATACCTGAAACGACCTTTTAAAAAAAGTCGACCTTTCGACCCCGACTCTTAAACCCATATGACCTCCAAAAGTTCATCCAAGACTCAACTGACCAACTACTGATATATTAACAACACTGAGTCCTACAATATCACTCCCGAGGCCTAAGACCTCCAGGCCACGGAAAAACTGCTATAACGCGTTGAATTTTTGGTTCGGCCTTTTCAGTGCCACATTGAGTGTGGCACCAAATTGGCCATGCGCATTAAACTCCCCGTGGCCGAAAACCTATTACCCCGCTTTTTTACTTTAATTAGGTTTCAACCAGCTTTAGAATAAACCGTGGGCGTTTTGTCCATCTGACCATTTTGTCCATAGGCATTTTTCGCCTTATTTTCCGATTTTTAAATTTTTAAAATTTTAGTTTTTTGGGGTTTTTTTTTAAAAACTTTGGGTTCCCTTTTTTATTTTTTTTTTATTTTTTTTATTGTTTAAGTGTCCTGCTCACACCCCAGTCCTTTTTTCCTGAAAAATTTCGAAAAAGGTCTTGAAAAATGCAAAAACTCGCTTTTTGCGTTTTTTTGAGATTTTTCCTGTTTTTTACGATTTTTCGAGATTTTAGTGGGGTTTAATTGTTTATAAATCATAATTTGGGACCCGTTGATTATAATTATGTTAAGTTTACCCAGCATTTTTGAGAAATTCTGAGGTTTATGAAATTTCAAAAATTCGTGTTTGGGGTGTGATCAGGGCATTTTTTAATTTATTTTAATTTATTATTTTTTTAAATTTTTTAGTTATAACTTTAGGTGGATTGCAGCCTCAACGACAACAATCAACAGGTTCGTTTCTTCCTTCTCCCTCGGCTAAGGGAGTTGCTCCCTACTAATCAGGGAATGTTCCCTGATTAGTTGTACTCTTTATTGAGGAGGGGTCATGCCGGATTTTTTCGCGAAATCCGGTATAAAACTTTCTTAGTTAAGAGGGCACTAATCAGGGGGCATTTTCTGATTAGGTTTCACTCTGGATAGAGGGGTCATGCCGGTTTTTTGATCGGAATGCCCCTCTTTTCAAAGTGAAATCTAATCAGAAAGTGCCCCCTTTAGGTTCCTCTTAATGAAGTAAGTTTTATACCCTATTTCGCGAAAAAAACGGGCACTACCCTAATCAACAAAGAGTATAACTAATCGGGGAACGTTCCCTAATTAGTAGGGAACAAATCCCTTAGCCGAGGGAGAAGGAAGAAACGAACCTGTTGATTGTTGTCGTTGCGGTTGCCATCCACCTAAAGTTATATCAGAAAAAGATAGAAAATTTTAATAAGTAAATTAAATTATCGTAAAGTTTGCTTTTTTAATTTAATGACGGTTTTATAAAGTTAACTTAAAATTTTTTCCTTTTTTAGATATAAAATTTAATATTCAATATTATTTTTAATTTTAAATGCCTTCCAAACAACGAAACAAAAGAAAATTGGGTAAAGAATATCGTCAACGGCTGATTGCTAATGATGGTAATTCTATGGATGTTGATTCTATGGATGGTTCTTTGGATGGTAATAATATTTTGTTTGTTGGTAATTTTATTGAAGAGGGCAGTAAAGGGGAAAATAGTTTAGTACTCGATAATTCTGATGTTTTGAATAATTCTATTGTTTCACGTAGTGTTTCCCCAGATAGTATTTCACCGATTTCTCGTGGGGGAAGACCGAAAAAAAGGAAAAATTGTGGGGGTAGACCTAAAAATGTTATTTTTAATGAATTTGTTTCTAATGATAATTTGAATATGAATTTTGAACCTGCTTTTTTGTCTGTTGATTTATTAGATATTCCTTTCGGACCTGTTTTACATAGTGATAATCGTATTTGTGACATGAATATTAATGTCGCAAGGGATTATATTAAGGAAATGTGGTCTGATTCAAATTCTTGGTTACAAGAGAATTATATTTATTCGTATCTTAAATACTTGACCACTCACACAAATAAACGTGTTGTTGTACTTGACCCAGCATATTCTTTTGTTGATTATCAATATGGGGACAGAGATCCACTAATTCCTGTAGAAAATTGCTTTAATCATTCTGTCAATTATGACATTTTATTCATCCCAATTTGTTTTCCTGGTCATTTTGGTCTTGTAATTTATGATAGATTTGTTCGAAATAATCCTTTTTGTTTGTTTGTTGATTCTTTACCTGCGGTTGACAGGTTATTTAATGTTAGATATCCCGGATTAGATAATTGTGTTATTAATGATTTGCCTGTTTTGAATTTAGAGCCAGATCCGCCATTAAGGAGGTCTGAAAGAATTAAAGCTTTAAAGAATAATGATATTTCTAACTTAAATATTAGTAATATTAACATTGCCTCTTTAAATAAAATTACTCCACGTTGTCATTTATCCCATAAATTATATCCTTGTGCAGATGTGCGTGCAAGGCACGTTGTTAGCTATTATGACTCCGGAAATATTGGAGACGCTGAATGTTGTTATTGCGGTGCAATGTTGTTTAATTCTGAGATTAATGACGCGCATTATAAGAAGTTTAAAAAGATTTCGTCTTCATATTGTTGTCGTTGTGGTGTAATTAAACTTCCTTCGTTTAAACCCCATCCTCAATTATTAAAAGACTTAACTAGAGGTGATACTAAGGATTCTTTAGATTTTTTAAAAAAACAAAATGTATACAATTCCCTCCTTGCTTTTGCGTCGGTTTATGTAGGCCACAGAGAAACTAAACTTTATGGTGGAGTTTGTTATCTATTAAATGGCGAATTTGTTAGAAAAATGAGTTCGATGGTAGCTGGAGAGTCGGGACCATCATTTTCCCAGTTGTATATATTAGATGCTAATACTGCTTTTCAACATCGAGTTTCTAATGTTGCTTATGGAGGGGATAGAGTTAATCCAGATGTATTAAAAAGTTTAGATACTCTTCTTAGAAATTGCCATCCTCTTGCAAATACTTATAAATCCTTTCATGAACAATATTTAGACAAGTTAGAAAGGGATGGCCCTGATTCTGTGCAAAATTTCAGACTCGTGCTTTTGGAGGAGCGAGAAGCGCCTGAACTTATAATAGACAATACTTTACATGTTAGACAAGTTAATCTTCCTACAGAGGAAACGTTGTTTTCATTACATACCGAGTCAGACGAACCTCCTATTTTAAAAGGGCTTTTTATTACTGGGGATCAAGGGAAGTTATTTATTTTTCCACCACATCATCCTCAAACAGATACATTATGTTACCCTCTTTTGTTTCCGTGTGGAGATGATAGT